TGACCAACCTTTCTGTCCTTTGTCCTTTGCACAGGTGTCATTCTCTAATAAATTTGTCACACTCTAAAGCATTTCATCCCTCAATTCCTGAAATCAGCATCCAGTGCATCACAGATAACCACAAAACATCAGTGACACATTGGACATTTCTTACTGGTTAAGAGTAACCAGGCCAACAGAAGCAGTTTAACGTCTGCTGGGCCACAGGGGTCTGTGGTCAGCTGTTGGTCAGGTAAACAGTTCTGACCTCAAGTAGGTTGTCTGTCAAGTCTGGGGGTTATCTGGCCATGATCTGGTCTGGATGGCCTCAAGCAGGACAAGCAGTCATTCTTTCACATCATGTCCCCCTCTCTAGGAGGCTCGCCCAGCTGGCTCACATGGCAGGAGAGAAAGCCAATGTGAGCAAAGCCTCTTGAGATCTAGACTTGGAATTCAGTGTCAGCTTCATGAGGAAGAGAATGGCTTCCTGAGGTAAGAGATGGAAGGCTCGTTGTGAAGTGAATACAGATAGAGGACGGAGTAAAGAACTGGGATGCTTTTGTGACAATGTAGCCCCAAAGAATTCCTTACACTGAACCAAGGAAACTGGAAATCTCAGTCGACCGTATTGTGCCTTTTCTTTCTTTTTCCTGGTGCTGGAGATTGAACACGGAATCAGCATGTGATAGGCAATCATTCCTCCAGAAATACACACTCAGCCTATTTGTTTTTATTCATTTTTGTAGTATTGGAGATAGAATCCAAGGCCTTAGCATTGAGCTACATCCCCAGCCCTTTAAAAAAAAACTTTTAATTTTGAGACAGTGTCTTAATAAATTGCAGAGCTGCCCAGACTATATTCAAATTTGTGATCCTCGTGCCTCAGCCTTCCAGAGTATTGGGATTGCAGGTGTGCTTAACCACACCCAGCTCATATTATTTTTGAAATGAAAAGTTCAAAGCACACAGAAAGGCTGGGGTGTAGTTCACTGGTACAGTGCTTACATAATATGTGCAAAGTGCTGGTTCAAGCCCCAGCACTATAATAAATAGAAAAAAGCACATGGAAAAATTGGAGTGATATAGTGTCTCATGAATTTGCCATCCTACCTGTTGAGCAGTCTTTCTGTTTCCTTTATCCTTTTCACAGCTGTCATTTTCTAACTCGTTGTACTCCTATTGCATCTACCAATTCCTGGAGAATCTGAAACCAGTACATGAACCCATGTTAAAATTCTGTCATATTAAGAAACAAAACTTTGAGGATGTGTACTTAGCTTTTTTTAGTACTAGAGATTGAACCCAGGGCCTGCATATGCTAGGCAAGTGCTCTGCCCTAAACTATAACCCTAGTTCTTTTTATTTTGCTAAGCTGCCCAGTCTAGTTTCAAATTTGGGATTCTCTTATCTTAATCTCTTGAGTAGCTGGGATTATAGGTCTGTGCCACTACCTATGGCTAAAATGCTACACTTTTTTTGAATTGGCCTTCAAATTCAGGACCTTGTGATTGCCAGGCAGGTACTGTGCCACTGAGCTGTAACCTTATCCCTAAGATGCTATGCTTTTAAATACACTGTATTTCTACCCATCCTTTTGTTTTCTTTGGTCTTTAGCTGTAAACTTTTAATTTTAGACAGTTATTTTCAATTTAAGTGAAAGGACTGAGATTCATATCTTCTGGTGATTCAGCAGAAGGAAAAAAAAAGAATTGTTTTTCCATCATTAAGTAAGTATTTATTGTGATTACATTTCCTAAATATTGTAACACATATTCATTTATATACCACAGTCTTGGGGCTGGGGATTTGGCTCAGCAGCACAAGTGCCTGCCTGGCATGCACAGGGTCATGAGTTCGGTCCCCAGTACCAAAAAACAAAAAACCCACCATATTCTTATTTTTTGGCATGTTCAATTTGTACATCATTTCACTTAAAGTTAGAGCTATATACCTAAAGAGAGAAACCAGGAATACTTTCTGTTATAAGGAGGGCAATTTTTTCTTACATCTCTTTTAGTTTTTTTTTTTTTTAAATAGCTTAAAGCTCTGAAGGCTAGTTCTACTCTTGCTCTCTGAGTTTTCATTCCAAGATTCTTATTGTATTCTTTCTATGGGTTTGGCCCTTGGGTGTTTGCTTTGTCACTTGGGTGTGGAGATGTTTTCACGGGTTTGTTTAGTTGCTAGTCAGCCATACCTCTGGTTTTCCTTTTATGGGATTGAAGTATTATTGCTCTTAACTCCTATCTGACTTTTCAACTTCAATATAACCTCAGAGTGCAATCCTTTCCTCTTCTATGTTTTCTGTGCCTTTATGGCAAGTGGGTTATGCCTTTATTTCAGTTTTATTGAAACATAATTTATATGCCAGGAAATTTATCCTTTAGTATACTTAGCATTCCATCAGATTCATCCCTTAGTATACACAAAGTTGTACAACCATCATCACTTCTGATTTTAGAGTACTTTCATCACCCCAAAAAGCAACCACATAGCCACAGTTGTCAGTTCCCATTCTTGGTACTCCTAGAAACCCCTAACCTACCTTTTATTTCTATGAACTAGCTTATTCTGGACATTTAATACAGGAGTTATACATCATAGAATATTTTGTCTCCAACCTCTTTAATTTAGCATGTTTTCAAGTATCATGTATGTTGTAGCATGTCTCAGTATTTCTTTTTTTGTTAGTACCAGGGATCAAACTCATGACCTCTCTCTTGCCAGGTAGGCGCTTGTGCTGTTGAGCTAAGTCACCAGCCCTCAGTGTTTCATTTTTAGCACCAAATAATAATTATATACCTAAGCCACCTTTTGGTTTTTCATTCACCAAATACTTGGTGTTATATCCCTTTTGGCTTTGTGAATAATGCCACTGTGAAGATTCTCATATTGGTTTTATGGGACATGTTTTCATTGCTCCTGGATATATACCTAGAATTAGCATTGCTGTGTAATATGGAAACCCTAAGTTTAACTTTTCAAGGAACTGCCAAACTGATTTCTGGATCGGTGGTACCATTTTACATCCTCCCAGGCATGTATGAGGGTTACCATTTCTCTACATTTTCATACATACTTATTGTTTGTCTTTTCATGTTTTAGCCACTCCAGTAGATGTGAAATAGCATCTCATGTGATTTCAATTTATATTTCCTTAATGACTGATGAAGTTGGGTATCTTCTCATGTTCTTACTGGCCATCTGTATGTACTTTCTTTGGAGAAATTTTTTTTTAAATTATTGCTAAGTTGTAAATTTACATTCTGAGGACAAATTCCTTATCAGATATACACTTCACAAATATTTTCTCCCATTGTTTCTGTATGTGTGTGATTCAACCCAGGGCCTTGCAGATTCTATCTTTTTACTTTCTTGATTATATCCTTTAATGCATAAATGTTTTTATTTTTTGGTGGTGGGATTTAGTTTTTATTTTGTTGGTTATAAATTTTGGTCACATCTTGGAAATCATTTCTAAAGTCACAGAGATTTAATATTATTTTCTTCAAAGAGTTCTATGGTTCCAGTTCACCTATGTCTACAATCCATGTGACATATATGAAAAGCATCTATCTTAGTAGCTGCTGACAGTGAATATTTCTTTGCTTCTTTTGTTTCCAATAAAACAGACAGTTAAGTTACACAGAATTAACGGGCAGTCACACTGGGCTGGGCCCTTGAGGGAATCAGTGCAGAGAAGAAGACATATCAACACTGTGGCTGGAGGTGCATCCCAAGAAGGCAAGGCCTTGAGATTAAAATCACAATGGCCAGACTTGCTTGCTTCCCTAAAGGATGAATGCAACTGTGAGATTCTGGTACCACCTAGTCCTTTAAATCCAGATAAACATTAGTCACCCAGGAGAATGACCAGAGCACCTGGACTATGCCTTCCCACAGAAGCCTTTGCTCTTTCCATGTATCCTTGCCACGTGACCCACTTCCCTCTGGATCAATATTAGATAAGCAGCTGTATTTGTAATCTTGTTGGTTGATTATAGCTTGACCCTCGTTTGTCTCACCTTTTGACTTTGTACCTGCCTTGTGATTTTTGCCCTATGAGACATTCTCAGAGAAATGGCTGTTGGGAGCCGTTGGAAGCTGGAAATTGAACACACGTGCAGGGCTGTGGCATGGCTGACCCCAGAACAAAGGAGAGCTCTAGCTGGGCCTGGGGATACACGCTTATAATTACAGCACTTGGGAGCCTGACGCAGGAGGATCATTGAAAATTTCAGGTCAGTCTCTTATGCTACATGGTAAGTTCAGGGCCGGCCTGAACTCCATAGTGAGAACCTGTCTTCAAAAAACACAAAATAAACAAAACACAATGCTAATAGTCCCACAATTTTTTTTCCTGGATTAATTTTCAGTTCTCCAAGTGTCTACTTATTTAACTGCTTCTGCAGTAACAAAGTTTTAACTTGTGGATCTGACCTCAATTTCTCAAATCAATGGTGGTTCTTATCTGCTTAAAAAGGAAAAACTTTTCTCAGGCAGCAACAACCACTATTGAGAAGTTAAAGAAACAGCATGGGGGTACCGCAGGGGATTCTGTTTCCAGTGACCCTTTTGCTCTTACATCTTGAACATTAGTTCATGTAGTCTAAGAAATAGAGCAGAAGGTTAAAGCTATTCATCTCACGCAGGAATTTCCTAAGGTTTTGTGTCCGGGCAATTTTTCTGCCTGCTGCTTAAGTACCTTTTTGTGAGATTCCAAAATCAAAATCTGCCTCTCCATGTGAAGAGTGTACTTGTACCTACTGAACTTTAAATGTGTATGGTACAGAAACACCCTTTTGTTACACAACTCGTTCCAGTTTAGAAAAAAACATGAGGGGAAGTGGGTATATCCCACAGCTAAGTGCTCCAACTGACTCCAGAATCAACCCTCCTGCCACTTGGTCAAATCACCTCTTTACAAATAATTGGTTATGGAGGCACATGTTCTTCCTGTCCTAGGGATTATGGTCTTTTCATAACCCTGAACACCGAGGTTTTATTATTTATTCAATCATTCCTTCAAATATTAAATTTTTTATTAGCACATATGTACAGCAGACAATGATTACCTTCATCACGGGCAGTTGGTATAAATATATCTTAACTCTATACCTCCACCCTCTTCCATCTCTTGGTCAATCATTCATTTATTTTATTTTATTTTATTTTATTTTTTGCGGGGCTGGAGATTGAATCCAAGGCCCTGTGCAAGCTAGGCAAGTATTTGATTGCTGAGCTATCTCCCTAGTCTTATTTAAAAAACTAGGCTTTCTTTGTGTATTGCTACTGAGGATTGACCCTGGAACTTCACACTGAACTATGTCTTCATGTCCTCAGTATCCCCCTCCCCACACCTTTTTTTTTGAGAAAGGGTCTAGCTAACTTGCTGAATTGTACAGGCTGGGTTTTGAATTTGTGATCCTCCAGCTTCGGGCTCCTGAAAGTGTTGAGATGACAGGCATGTGCCACAGTGCTAGGCATCATTTTTAGATTTACTTTTGTTAAATTTTTTGTTTGCTTTGAGTCAGAGTTCGCAGTGTTGGTCAAGCAAGCTGGTCTTGAACTCATGATCCTCCTGCCTCAATCTTCCAGGTAATTACACTATTTTGAAGAGGGGCTTTGGGTTCACAACAAAATTTAGCTGATGGTATAGAGCTCCTCCCCCTCATCATCATCTCTCACCGGGTGCTACACTGGTTAGAACTGAGGAACCCACACCACTGCAACTTTTGTCACCCGCAGATCGTGGCTGACACCGAAGCTCACTCTTGGTGTTCTCCGTTTCGTGGGCCTGGACAAATGAGTACGAATGACAGGTTCCTTACGGAGCGCCAAGGAAATCCTCCATGCTCCAGTTCGGCTAGATTTTTTTTCAAGGGAAAGGAGAAGAAAAGGTTTATATGAGAAAGTCTAAGTATAAACAATTTAAAGAGCAACATAAAAATAATTAGAAAACAGACCTCGACCGCGCCGCGCAGAGGTCAGTTCAGCTGCTCTCCAAGTCGGCCCCGAGTCCCCGCCGCAGCTGTCCCGTAGCTGCAAGCTGGGCTCCGGCTCCGGGACAGGTTCCTCCTCCTTTTGTTTCGGTGTCAGGCGAATGGGTTTCCTGTTGACGCCGGAATACCGCGCGGGGGCAGGAAGAGCCGGGCCGCCCGCTCCCCTCCCCGGCCGCAGGTGGAGCCGAGCGCGTGCGGCGGCGGCGGCGGTGACCCCTCCCCGGCGGGGGCGAGGCCGGGCCGGAGCGCGGCGCGGCGCGGCGGGGCGGAGCGGGCCGAGGAGGCCGGGCCGGGCCGGGCCGGGCCAGGCCAGGGTGAGCGCAGCGCAGCGCTGCGCTGAACGAGGCCGCTACGCGCCGCAGGTGAATCCCGCGCGGGGCCGTTTCCACAGCCGCCGCCTCTCCGGCCGCCTTCGCTGCCCGCGGGGCACTCGGTGCCCGTGGAGCGGAGCTCCGGGGCCGTAGCTCGCCCTCGCCCATGGCTGAGGGCCGGCGGCGGGAGGACGAGGAGGACGAGCTGCGCGAGCGCCGCGAGCTCGGGGGTCCGCGCCGCGCCCGGGGCCGTGCGCTCTCGGGCCACGCGGCCGCAGGTGAGAAGCGCGCGGGGGCGGGGAGGGCGGGGCCGAGGACCTGGCGTGCGGGACACCTCCGAGCCCATCCGGGCAGATGGCAGCTTCTCGCCTGCCGGGAGGGGACAGGCACCTTCCACTGTTGGAGGGAGGGAGGGTAAGTGGCCTTTCCAGCCTCATCCTCTCACTTTGGGGCTGAGCCCGAGGAGATTGTCGACGTTTCTCTCAACCTGCTGGTGGTTCTGGAACCGAAACTCCTAAATTGCCGTGCAAACAATCCAAGTACTGCTGGCTTGGAACTGGTGGCCTTGGTGGTTGCTTATCTATGGGTGAGTCAGAGGCCAGCGCGGGGAGAGCTGGCTGGGTTCAGCAGTCTCGGCGACCACGACCCCGCCAGAGGACTGGTCACGCCTCGCGCTCCTACGGAGTCAGGGCTGCAATTGGGCGTCCTGTGAACTTTGGACCTCTGTTCCCTTCCCTCCCCAGTCGCCGGAGCTCAGCAGCTCTCAACCACTGGCTTTAGTTATTTTGTGACATTTCCCCATCCCCCCCGCCCCCCAGCAAACTCCAGACTGAGAGCATTCCGAAAGGACGAAGAGTCATTTCTAGACCTATAATTACTTTGATAGTCTTGTGTGTTAGATGCACAGAGGCACGAATGGAGTAGTCGCGGGCACAAGGGGACGGTGAATGAGTGTATCTCCACACCCCTTCCCTCTTCCTGCGTGGCTTTTCAAGCAGGCATAATAGGGAGGAAGTTGTTTGGCCTTTAGTTCCAACTGGATAACTAGAGTTATCAGTAAATAAGAGGGAAGAACAAACCCGAGGGACAACAGCGAAATAAAAGAAGTGAGGAAGCTCTGGCTGACAACATTCCTTGGGGCCCTCTTTAGAAAGTGTAGTGAGTGTTCTTTGGAGCCATGGAGGTGCCTTTGCCTGATTCTGTTAATTACGTAGAGAAAGTTGGGAACGGAGAGTAGAGAAAGTGTGATGAAAGGAAAGAACTCCAGTTAAACAAGAAAAAATGGGCGATTAGATGTCCTTAGAGCAAACCCCTCCTCCCCCGTAGTACTGGGAATCAAACCCAGGGATGGCTATACCTCTGAACTACACCCAAGCCCTTTTTAAATTTCGAATTTAGTTTTTAAATTTGAGACAGTCTCAATCATGAAGCATTTTGAACTGGGCTAAAATTTACCACCATCATGCCTCAGCCTCCCAGACTGCTGAGATTACAGCTGGACACCACTATGCCATGCTGAGCTTCCCAGTTGTTTTTACCTTTTGAGATAAGGTATGGGTAAGTTTGGCAGGCTAGCCTAGAACTTGGCACCCCTCCTGCCTCAGCCTCTCAAGTAGACGGGAGTTACAGGTGTGTATGTGCCAGTGTGCCCATCTCCCTTGGTACAATTTTGGAATCTTAAAATTAATTCCCAGGAGCTGGGGTATAGTTCAGTGTCACAGTGCCTGGCCTGGCAAGTGCAGGATCCTGAGTTTGATTCCTGGTACGCCTCCCCCATGATTACATATATCTGTTACTAGTACTTTTCATCAAAATAAGGTATTGTCTACGAACACCAATTATTAGGAAATAACTGATAGTTTTGTTCACTGTATATCTAGACCTAGTGAAATAATGAGTACTTGGTGGATAGGAATACATTTTTTTTCAAGAAGGTAATTGAAAAACATTACAAAGATGCCTTTCCTCTGAATTGCAGATTTAAATAGTGTGACCTCTCTGGGATTCTTATTACAGTACCTTCAGCAAAAAATGTATAGTGTGGCGCTGTATTGGAATTCAAACTCCATATGATCCAAATATATGTTCATCATTTAGTTGCAGTGTATGTATTTATTCCAAGGCTGGTGGAAATGGCATTTTTGTAACTTTTTACTATTTCCATAATTTCTTAGGACTGGCTAAAGCTTTTTTAGGTTCTTTGATAATACATAACCCGAGACGTGAGGTTGTGTGCTTTTTGCACTATTTGCCTCTTCCTGAAGGAGTGAAGCTTAGCTATATTATGCAGTGGGTAGAGCCAAACTTGTAATTCTGGAGTTTATTTCTTTAGGGTAACCCCTAAAGAGTTAGGTCTTTAGCAGTTTGCCTTTCTTTTGAAGCTGCTGTTCCCTCTGTCCTCAGTAGTTATGGTGGTGTTTTGCAGACACCCTCGCATTCCTTACTAAGTTTGGGCATTTGTTACCCCGTGTTAGAGGGTGCTGCCCTCCCACTGGAGAGCAGGAACTGACCTGAAAGCTTTGTCTCCTCTGCTTCTCATTTTACACTGTCCTGTCCCTAATGCTCCCGCTTCCCCCATTGCTTTATAATCTAAAGATTTTCTTTTTCTTTCATGCACATAATTTGATACTATAAACCTGGGGTTTAGAGACTTGAGGGAGCCTTTGAACCCAGGTTCTCTTCCTGCTAATTTATGTGTGATTGTGTAGGTCATCTATTTACTTTTGCAGTATGCTTATAAATTTTAAAGTGAAAACCCCCACTGTCAGTTCCTTAGAAGCAGAGGCCCATTTCTCTCAGCCAGCCTCCTCCCTCCCTTTTTTTCTTTTTTTGACCCCTCTCCCCTTTTTTACAATGTTGGGGATCGAACCCAGGACCTTGTGCATGTTAGGCAAGTGCTCTACCACAGGGCAACATGGCCAGCCTTACTGTTTATAACCTTTATGGCTAATTCTTTTTTCTGCCACATACATTTCTGTGCAATATTGTTTCACCTTACCTATTTTACAGCTTGACCTAAGTGGAATTGTCTGTATAGGTTCTTTAGTGCTGTTTCTTCTGTCTTTCTGAGCTCACCATGGTTTCTTTTAATCCAGCAGAAGATAGGCAATGACTGGAGATTATGAACTGTCTAGAATAAACTCTTCTAATTCCAAGGCTGGGAGCCCCAGGCAGAATCTGATCAAGGGGCACTCTTTGAATAGCATCCTTAAGAAATAAAAATATTTTTAAAGATTACAATCATTTGGACTTGGGTCACAATTTCACCTTATACCATGAGAATAATTGATTTAGTGTTTTCTTTCTTCATAGAATGTAATTATGTTTTTCTCGGGGCTTTTTTTTTTATGGTAGTAGCGGTGGGAGTAGTGCTGAGCATGTGCTCTGCCACTGAGCTGTATTGTCAATCTTGCTTTCCTTGGATCTTTAGGGCTGGAGGTGAAGCTCAGTGGCAGAACATTTATGCAATGTGTGTGAGGCTCTGGGTTCAACGACCAGTATAGGTAAAAAGAAAGAGGCCTAGCTGAATTTTGTGGATTGCAGAAGCAACCAGGAGCCAAGAGTGAATTCAGTGAAAGCCAATCAATAGTAGTTCATGATTCATGAGGTTAATTTATGAGCAGCCATAGGAAGGGTCTGTGAGGTGCGAAGAGAATGTAATTGCTTGAGTTTCATGCCCTGATGCTAAGGTGTTGGGAATCTGGTGTCATGTGAACTATTTACTGTTGATTGTGGCATCCATGAGCCTTAATTGCCTCACATGACATAGAGTGGTTATTGTAAAAGCCACCAGAACTCTTGGGGTATTTTATTAATCCATGGAGTGTCAGTCACAGGGCAGAGATGTGGTACTAATCCAGTGTTTGTCAAACTTTTCCTGCATGCACCAGAATTTCCTAATGGGATTGTCCAAGCACAGATTATTGATTCTTGTTCTTAGAGTCTTTGATTCAGTTGCTCTAGGGTAGGGCCTGAAATTTTTCTTTTTCTATTTTTTTCAGTGCTGAGGATTGAACTAGGGATGTGCTACCATCCAACTCTTTTTATTTGTCATTTTATTTATTACTTATTTTACTCTGAGACATGGTCTTATTGAGTTGCCCAGGCCTCAGCCACTCCAGTAGCTAGGATTAGACATGTACCATCACATCCAGCACTTATCAAGTTCCTTGTAATTAAGAGAGAAATCTACCCCAACATTGAGTCATAAATTCTTCTTCTTTTTTTTTTTTTTTTTGGAAGTGCTGCATATGCTAGTTTCTAATGATCTGGAGAAGGAGAGTAGAGGCCTGCTCTGATAACCTCTACTGATGGAGGCTTATTGTAAGGGCTCACAAGTCACTGGAGTGGCACCGGAAGTACTTTCAGCAGTTATTTGGATGAGTAATTCAAATAGCTCCACCAAAGACACATCCTTTGTTAGTTGGAGTACTGCATTGCTCCTCAGGTTAGCGACAGCACCGTTTTGTGCTTTGGTTTCTCTGTCTGCTTCCATGGCTTATGAGAATACTGAATAAGTGGCCCTCTTTTTTTTCTCACAGGACATCCCTGTGCGGCAGGGTCCTCATGCCGGTTTTCCTCTGAGGCCAATGACAGGCTTGCAGACAGCAGCTTTTTCTGAACCACACCGGTACCTCTGCTGAGAAGGGCGGGAGTCTCGAACCTGTGTGTGGCCAGCATTAGGAGGAAAGTGGCCAAGGGCTCTGGGGTTACTCAGGTTTCTCATCATGAAGAATGCATCAAGTAGGCTCTCCTATTGCCAGAGGCCCGCATGTGTGTCTGCCTGGATTTGGGGCCATAAAGGTGTCAAGTCCAGTGCCCAGAGCCTTCCCAAGTGTCCACCTTATAGCCCTGAAGGGCTGGTCCTGGCCGCGGCTCGGGAGGCGGAGCTGCGCAGGCGCACTGGCCGCAACACCTTGCGTGCGGAGCACGGGCACCGCCATCTTGAGTGCTCACTGGACTATAGCGGAGGTCAAGTGGGCGTTAGGCAGCTTGATGCAGGAAAAGAGGCTGTTTCCAGGTAATGCGGGAGACGCAGGGTCGTCAGGGGGCGTCAGGATTGATTGCAGTGGCTCCTGCCTTTTAGATAGCCCCAGGTCCTTCAAATTGTACGGACAGGAGAGAGGATATTACAGATACGAGGTTTTGGGGCGCTGTGAAGCGCACTTGTGGGCCCCCGGGGTACGTCATACATGGGAGGCTGAGGAAGGAGAATCGCACGTTTGAGCCCAGCCTGGACAATTTAAAACAAAAATCTGAAGAATCCACCTGGGTGGTGTCACCGGGCGGCTGCGTGCGGGACAGGTCAAACCTTGCTGGTGGTGGGTTACTTGTGAAAAAGGGGTCGCCTCTGGAGCAAGACAGTGGTCCCTGACATTTCGGGTTAGTTTCAACCTGAGTCAGAGCCAAGAGGCTTTTATTAACCTTAGCGAATATAATGCGGTACTGATCACCTCAGAACTTCTACTTTTAGTGAAGAACAGGGATTTTAATTCTAATAGTTTTTTCTCTTTTAATTGAATCCCCCGCTTTTTAAATTTCTGTAGTAGGCAACTATCTGGCATACCTGAACAAAATTTATTTACTAGTCTTTTTTTTTTTTTTTTTTTTTGAGATGGGGTCTTGCTGTGCAGTTCAGGCTGGCCTTGAGCTCACATTGTAGTGCAGGATGGTCTCGAATTTGAAGTGATCCTCCTGCTTCAGCCTTCCAAGTGCTGGGATTATAGGCATGCCCTACCACACCTGGCTTTTACTGGTCTTGTATTTAGTGCTGTATATGATGTCAGGAATTTATACAACCCTCCTGACGTGTTCTTTTTATTAGTAGAGTTTGTATCTAGAGATTGCACCTTTCGCACTGAACTCTATACCCTTTTTTTTTTTTTCCATCAAGTCACCTAGTTTCCCAGACAGAGTTAAACTTGTAATTCACCAGCCTTAGATTCCAAGTGCCAAGATATGGACCATATTCCTGGCTGTTATCTTGTTAAGGATGAGAAAAATGGATGAAGAGAAGTTAAGTGGAGCTGAGATCTAACCCCTCCCCATTAAATCTAGAGCCTTGCACATACCTAGACAAGCACTGTATCACTAAACTACATCCCTTGCCCGCTCTTAGTTTTATGTTGAGACAAGCGTTTGCTGATTATTTGGATTCAAACTTTTGAGCCTCCTGCCTCAGTTTCTTACTCCCAGGTAGTTAGGATTAAAGGCATGCTCCACTGTGCCTGCCTCAGACTTTTACTTATTTAATTTTAAATTTTGGATATAGCAATGTTGACTTCTTTTTGGCTAGTAGTTCAAAGAATTTTAATAGCTGGAGAGGTGCGTGTAACCACTGCTACAGTCAGGATACAGAACTGTTTCAGCACTTTCAAACTCCAGCCGCTGCCGCTGTAATCAGACCTGCTCTGCACCCTTAACGGCTGGCAGCACTGGTCAGTTCTGTTTTGCTTTTCCCATAATATTATGTAAATGGAACTGTAAAGTTTGTAACATTTTTTTTTAAAGCTTTTGACATTGAATCTCACTCGCTACATAGTTTAGCTTGGCCTTGAACTCGCTGTGTAGTCCAGGCCTGCCTTGAAATCACCAGTCCGCCTGTATCAGCCTCTGAAGAGCTGGGGTTACAGCATGCCTGAGATAATATTTGTAACTTTCAAGACTAACTTCCTTTGCTCCAGCACAATGCCTTGGAGTTTCGTTTTATTTTGTGTATCAATAGTTTGAGCCACTTTACTGTTAAATAGCACTGTTTGAGGGTTCCAGATTATATATTTACCTGATACAGGAATATGTAGGTTATTTTGTTTCTGGTGATTATGAATAAACCATTCTTAATATTCCTGAACAGATCTTTGTGTACGCACAAATTTTCATGCTTGAGTTTATACCTACACTCCACTTTCTGGGGCCATATGATACATATATATTCAACTTTTTTTGTTTTTGTCTTTTTGAGACAGGGTCTCTATGCAGGTCAGGCTAGCCTTGGACTCACTTTGTAGCCCAGGCTGGTCTCAAACTCTCAACGATCCTCCTGCCTCCGCCTCCCAAATGCTGGATTATAGGCGTGAGCCACTATGCTTGGCTTATGTTCAATTTTTTAGGAGACATCTACAGTGTTTTCCATGGGGCTGTTCTATTTTGTAGCATTTCCATGTGTGTAAGAGAGTTCTAATCACTGCATTTTTACCAAGGACTTGGCATTAACAAATTTTTCTTGTTTTTTGTTTGTTTTTAGCCATTCTAATAGACATGTAGTGACATTTCATTGTGGTTTTACATTTTCCTAGTGGTAGTAATGAACATCTTTTCATTGTTATTTTTGAGTTCTTTATATATTTTGCATTCAAGTTTTCTTGGATATGTGATGCATGTGACACATTTTTGTAATCCAAAGCACTTGTGTATCAAACAATTTTCCCCATAATAACAGAAACTCATGATTCATTCCACAACCCAAAAATATTCATATAAAAATCATTACACTATTGTAATATATAAAATATAAAGAAAAGTAAACAAATTAAACGGCAGTTACCTTTAAAAACCTTCATGGCTGGTGTAAGAGAGATAAGAGAGAGGAGGGTTATCATGAAGGACAAGTGTTACTAACGGAATCACTGTTGTCTTTTGGCTTAGTGGAATCTTTTTCCTTTTGTGCAGCTTTGACAAGGAACCTATCCAGTGACGCTTGCTTTTGCCTCCTTTTGAGAGTTATGTGGAAATGTGGCATTGTATTGTCAAACAGTCATTGCTTGCTGCTGCAGCCTTATTTAGTGTCACTTTTCTACATAATTTTGCAGTTTTCCACATTTGACACGTCTCCCTAATCTCATTTAAAGTGAGGAGGGTTTTTTTTTTTTTTTTTTTTTTTGCCTTTTTCTCCTATCTGCAGGTGAGATCTCTTGTGTAACTCTTAACTGTTGAGAGATGATCACCCATGATTCCATAGCAAGGGAGAGGAGGAGGAGGAGAGACTGGAGAAGAGGAGAAAACAATTGTGATCATGTGATGTTTTGTGTCATGTACTTGTATAGCAAGACACCACACATATATCAAGTTAAAATTTATAGAAATGTTTGCTTATCTTGTGAAACATTTACCGAGCAAGTTATTCACAGTCCATAGTTTTACTGTACTGTATTTATTTTTGGTACTGGAGTATATCCCCAGCCTCTGTACTGTATTTAAAATAACTGATTTAAAGTATTTGTCTAGCAATTCCAATGTCTAGGTTTCCTGGGGAATAATTTGTATTGATTACTTTTTTCCTCCGTGGGGGCCATGTCTCTTGTTTTATTGCATACCTGATAAGGTTTTTGTTGAAAAGTATTTTGAGTAATGCTGCAGCTGTGGAAATCAGATTCTTCTTCCTTGCTGGAGTTTGTTATTGCTGCTTGTTATAGAGATGGCTCTTCAGTGACTTTTCTGAGCTCACTTTGTAAAGTCATTTTCTTTGTCATGTTTGACGCTGAAGTTTCAGTTTTATCGAGTTAGTGTCTGGCTTCTGATTGGACTGTTTTCTCTAATGCCTAGTACCAAAAAGAGCCTCCAGTCTGTGCAGATGAGCTTTGCTGTGTAGTGTTAGCACCTTCGATGCTCGTCCAGGCAGCTTTCAACTCTTGCTTAGCTGTTAGTTCTACCTGTGTGATTGTCAGCAAGAGATGGGAGCTTATGGCTTTCTTAGATCCTTTCTAAGCCAGGGCCCATCCTGACCTTCCTAGATTCCCAGGAATAGTTAGGGACTTTTTTTGTTCTTTTGTGGTACTGGGGATTGAACCCTCAGACTGCATGGAGCTGTGCTTTTCAGACTTTTTTGAATTTTGTAGTTAGAGCTTTTTTTTTTTTTTAACCAAATGACTGAGTTGCCCAGGGTGAGCTTAAATTTGAGATCTACCTGTTATATAGCCTCCCAGAGTATTGGAACTTACAGGTGTGTGCCACCACACCTGGCTAATGTGGAAGCTTTTCAAAGCCCTTATTCCCCAAAGCATTTTATTCTCTAACCTTTCCTTCCATCTTCTTTACCTTTTTGATCAATCCATTGTTTGCCCTATTTGTTATCTTCATTCAGCAACAAATAATACAATTTGCCTGTAAATATTTTTAGCAAATGGCTCTGAGAGTTCCACATTGGGTGAGATAAAGGCAAATCTTTTGTGCTGGACTTTCAGGGAGCTTCCAAACAAGTCAGCCTAAGTCTCATGCCAAAACAGAAGATATGTGTAGTCTTACTCAGTTTTGGAGTTTTGTGTTTCTTATAGTAGCATTAAAGTATTTTTATATGGTAACCCTTTGACTAATAATAGTGTTGGTAAGAACCCTCACTGAGACCCTACAATGGGCAGTTTGCTTTTCTCAGGCTATGGGCAACCCCTAACCCCTATGTAGCACTATAGAACAAGATTTCCAAAGAATATCTAGTCAAGGGAACACTATGTCTCTCTTTGCTATTAAGAGTGCTTGGAGAAAGTAGCTTTGCTGTGTTGTTCTGGTACACACCAGTCACATCCAAAAATAATCTAGGGCTCACACTTCAGAGAGTAGAATTGGGGAACACTTGGAGTGTGTCATTACATCTCCACAATATTTGCGTTTCTTCCAATGAGTACAAAATACTTTTAAAATTAAAGAAAAGTAAGTTTAAAGTACCTGGACTGGAGAGATATATAGCTTAGTGGTAGAGCTTATGCCTAACATGCCTAAAGCTGTGAGTTTGATCCTTAACACCAGAAACCAAACAAAAATCTAATTTAAAAGTAACTGCCTGCTGTCTAATGTATTTGTTGTCCATATTATAATACTTTATTTTATTTTTGGAATTTATATTTTTTCAAATCTTAGAAAATAAAACTAAACAAAATAAAACAGAATAAAGCCAATCAAAACAAAACAATGAAAGTGATACAGGATTTCAAAACAAGATAATAGAAAATCAACAATTGCTACCATAATGCCTTGTGTTATCTTCAAAATTGCTGCCCATTACCATCATACAAAATAAAATTAAACAAT